CAGCATCAACACCATCATCAGCATCATCATCACCGCGATCGACCACATCACCGTATTCAGCATCGCCATTACCTGTATCGTCGTAACCACCACCATCACCATCACCATCACCATCACCATCATCATCATCATCATCATCATCATCATCAGCATCATCATCATCCCCATCGTCATCATCATCGTCATAATCATCAAAATCATCCTCATCAACAGCAGCAGCTTCATCATCAGCAACATCCTCTCACCTCCCCCCTCCAACTCTCCCGCCATCTCCAAATGCGCGCGCGGGATTGCGTGCGGGAGGAGGGGCAGCAGCAGCACGGTGAAGAGGAGGAGGTTACGGGGCCTGACTGAGAAGGAGACGGAGACGGAGGAGGAGGAAGAGGAAGATAACCCACGAGAATGCAAAAACGCCGCCCAAGGCTCCGTGAGAGCAGTGGTACCATACATTAGCTATGCACCCCCGTCCGAAGAAACCAACGTACAGTCGGGCTTACTTGGGGCAGGCCGTTGCTTGTTGAAACTCGAGGCCGCCGTCCAGATGTCGGCCTGTTGTAGGGGTCGTTACCCTGCCAGAGCCGAGGGACAGAAGAGCAAACGAAGGGCCATGAGGAGGAGGAGGAGGAGGCGGAGGAGAAGCAGGCGGCAAGCGCACACAATAAGAAGTCCGAGGTTCCAACCTCCCTCGGAGGCGTGGAGTGGGGGGGGAGAGGGTGGGGAAGGGAGGATGAGCATGACGATGCAAACATAGAAGGGGGGAGGGGAAGGATGATGAGGAAGGGGAGAAAGAGAAAATGGAGGACGATCAAAGAGAAAGAACACGAGGATGGCGCCCACCACTCGTCGCCCTCCTCGTCCCACCTCTGAATTCGTCATCTGCCCTCCTCTTCCCTCCAATCCCCTTCCTCCTGACTTTCCTCCTTTTCCCGCTTCAGTGATCATTCTCCATTCCCTTCTCCCTCCTCCCGCCTCCTCGTCCTCCTCCCTCTCCATCCCCTTTCTCCCTCCTTCGCTCCTCTCTCCTCCCCATTCCTCCCCTTCTCCTACATCCCGCCCTCTTGCTCCTCACGGCGACGAGGAGGAGGTAGGACACTGGAGGAGGCAGGAGGACGAGGGAGGGAGACGGAATAAGGTGCAAGCAGCAGGGAGAGAGGACAAGAGAGGGGGTCCAGGACGACGACGGGTAGGAGCAGGGTGGAGGAGGAGGAGGAAGAGGATGAGGAGAAGAAAGAGAAGGACGACGATGAGAAGGACAAGCATGGATGAGGGGGCACCTGAACAACGAGGCGATCGTCGGCTTTGACGTGCATCCGCCACTCCGCCTTGGGCGCCCTGGCCTTCGGGAGCTGCTTCCACATGATGGCCATCCCCACGTCCTGCCGGGCATATGGGAGAGCAGCAACAAAATCATTGACACGCCGCTGTGGGAGACCATCAGCGTGCGACTCATGACACAAACGCCACATGTTCAGACAACGGCCAGGAAGTAAGACGCTGACGGGCTCCCAACGGTGCCGTGTCATCAGTACGGCGGAGGCATTGGATCAGGAAACCTTGGATAAGGAATCCAGGGTCTGGAAGCCAGCGGCATTCCAATTGTGGATTGGCCATGGATATCGCCACCGCCATCATGAGACAAGGAATCCTCCAGGGTCTGCAGCCTCCTGGGCGCATTCCTGAAACCAACGCCCCCACCGTAGTACTCGTGCTCCCTCCCGAGTGCAGCCACCAACCCGCCGTGAGAAATGCCGGATCAGGGAACGAAACAAGGCTTGCCTGGCCGCGGCGAGCCTCGGCCACGAGTGGGCTACCCGGCCTTGATCTCGGGAGCGGCCTTGAGCACAGAAGCCCCTCCTGAGCCCAAAGGTCCTTGCTTCGGCATCTTGGCTGCACACGCCCTCTGTGATAGAGGCCTCCCAAATGGGGTCGGAGGATCGCGCCGCATCGCTGATGCTTCGCCGATGCATCGGAGCTGCATTGGCGATGCATCCGCGATGCATCGGCGACGTCGGTTTTGTTGGCGAAGTCGGCGTGGATCACCATCACTGATGTATCGGCGTCAGAATCTGGCTCCGCATCGTACCGCATCACTGATGTATCGGCGGAGTGGCGCGGTCCTCTAACTCCATCTGCTCCGGCCCCTGTGGGAAGCCTAGATGTGAGCAGGCGGAGTGGTGACGGTCTCTCCCACAGTTCCTGCCATGTCACCAGACGCAGCCAGACGATGCCGCTCTGGCTCTCCTGCTGCTGGATCACCTGCGTCGCGTCGGCCTTGAATGTTAAGAGGGCGCTGCCGCCGCCGGTTTTCACAAAACTGCCGACGATCTTGACGGTACCCTCCTGCTAGGGGCGCTGGAGCCATCATCGGGGGCGTCCAAGAGGGAGGCGTCCGAGAGGGAGTCACGGCCCGAATCACGTGCGCGGCCCGGTTGGGGTGAGGGTAGCGGGACGTGTTGAAATCCGGGGAGATATCATGATCCCGGCCATGATATCCACGTGCTCCTAATCATCACCCCCTTCTTGGCCGCCCCCGACACCCGCGCAGGAACGCTCATGGCCGGGCCAACTCTGTGGCCAGGGTCGGCGCGCAGACGTGAGCACGACAAGAAGGGGTTGGGAAGATGCAGGGCACGATTGTGGAAGAAGCACGCTCACTATACGTGGCAGCATTGATGATGTGATCATTTCGGGGATGGACAGACCTCCCTTTAGTAAAACGTGGTTTAGTGAAAACGACCTGAGGCCCAAACCTGGCGGGCGCAAGCCTGGAAAATAACGGCCGCGGCGCCCTCTCGAGAACCGAAAACGGACAATTCACTAATCGACGTGTCACTGTTGGGGGTTCTGTCCACCCCCGATCATTCCTCCCAACCCGATCCCCCCAACTCGACAACTGCCTTCCTGAATACGGCATTCGCCCTCCTGGCTGCGGCCAGGGGGGCGCATCTGCCGCTCCCAGGCCGAGCGTGGGCACTGCCAGGACAGCTGTGCGCGTGTGGGAGGCTCTGCTCCGGCTTGCCGCCCCGGCCACCTTTGTGCGCGTGTGGGAGGCTCTGCTCCGGCTTGCCGCCCCGGCCACTTCTGCCGAAGCTCTTCGCGCGGTGGGTGCCTTCCTCCCCCCCCCCCTCGCCCAGTTTCTGCGGCCCCCCCCCCGCCTGCTTCCCTCCCTCGTGCCGCCGGACAATGCTTACGCCACGCCCTGGGCTACTAGAGCGCGCATGCGGATTGCCCTTGCCGCGCTGCAGCGGGCTCTGACTCGCTGTATCCGCCTTGTCGCTGCACGCGATGCCTCGATTGCCAAATTTGTCAGGAAACGGCCGACCAGCAAGATGGCGAACTTGCCTTGAGGAAGACCCCTCATCGTGTATCCACTGTCTGGGCTCACAACCGCGTCGGAGGAACGAGGTGTGCGCGTGTTGATACCTACGCTCGCTCCTAACCTCTGATTTCGCACCTCCTCAAAGGACCTCAAGCCGAGGGACTCGTGTCCCGTGGCGTCGCCTCCGCGGCTTGAGCCCAGCCGCGCGCTGGAGGAAAACAAATGTTTGTGAGCGTGGAAACCCAGACATCCGGCTGCTCCACTTTTTTCGATGCGTGGCCCCCGGAGGTCGGGACAACTTCCCTGGGCCCGGCTTCCCGCTCGACAACTTGGACGGTCCCGAGGCCCGGCGAGGGCCCCGCAGGCCGAAGTCCGCCGACCCGGCGTGTGAGTGTCAGAAGTCTAAGCTGAAGCTCTGCTTCAGCATGAGCTTTAGCTCTGCTTCGGAGGGGGGGAGGGGGGGTGGACGTAATTCACTGACGCATTCAGTGCTCGGCACCTCCTCCCCCCCCTCCCTGCCAGCCCCCCCCCAGGAGAGAGGGGGGTGGGGGGGTGGGGGGACGGAGAGAGGGGGGGGACAGAGGGGGGTGTGGACAGGAGAGAGGGGGGGACAGGAGAGAGGGGGGGGGGGGAAAGGCGAGAGGGGGGGGGGAGGGGGACAGGAGAAGGGGGGGGGACAGGAGAGGGAGGAGGGGGGGGGGACAGGAGAGAGGGGGAGGGGGGGGGGACAGGAGAGAGGGGGGGGGTAGGGGAGAGGAGGGGGGTGGGGGGGGGGCCGGGATCATCACCATCTCCATCAACCATCACCATCACCATCGTCACATCACCATCACCATCACCATCACCATCACCATCACCATCACCATCACCATCACCATCACCATCACCATCACCACCATCACCACCATCACCACCATCATCATCATCATCATCATCATCATCATCATCATCATCATCATCATCATCATCATCATCATCATCATCATCATCCAGAGCGCCCCGGATCGGCGGCACCGGCTGGAGGCCACTACAATCAGCCAAAGACCGTCTGCTCCAATTTTTGTTGGACCGTCGGATCTCTGGGTGTGGAAATTTGGCGCCCCTAACTCCTTTCCGTCCTTCACGAGGCTCCCGGTGCTCTGATAGTCCGGGTCGCCCTCCTGCGGCGGCGGCGGTGTCCCTCCGCTCCACGGCTTGTTGGAGCGGAGCAGCGCGAGATACTCGTCGAAGCCGTTGTTCGCATCGTAGTCCTCAGGGGGCCAGGTCCCCGTCTTCAGTGCCGAGCACATCCTCCCCTCCCTTCGTTGAGCCCCCCCCTCCTACTACCCCCTCCTCCCCTTCCCCTCCTCCTATTCCCCCTCCTCCTCTTCCCCTCCAAGCTCCTCCCTCCAATCCTCCCCAGCCCACCCTCTCCATCAACCCTAGAGCGGGGGAGAAGCAGAGAGAGGATGGGAGACGGGGGAGGATTGCAGTGTATTGCGTTGGATTGAGCGCATCGAGGGAAGGGAATGGTCGAGAGAGGGGGGGGAGAGGATTGGGAGGGCGAGGGTGGAGAGATCAGGGAGGCTCGCTTAGTTCGCTCGCACCACATATGACATCCTGCTCCCCACCCCTTCCTTGCCTTTTCCTGACATGTTGTACCAACTGCCGACTGGGGTGTCCTACATGACTTGCATCCCCAAGTGGCTGTTGCAAGTTTTGGTACATTGTTTCGTAAACGGGGGTCTTTCGTCCACCGGAGGAAGAGGGGGCGGGCGAGCAGGAGCAGGATACAGAAGAGGAGAAGGATACGGAAGTGGAAGCAGGACGAGATGGAGGAGCACGAGCAGGAGGAGCAGGAGAATCAGGGGAATGTGGACAGGAGGGGGTGGCAACGCCGCGGAAGGGCATCGGATCCAGACATCGCCATTCTGAACGACGCGGGCGAACAACCGATCCTGAAATGTGGCCACCGCTGCAGCGAGAGCTCGATTTCTGAATGGCACGTTCCGGCTTGAGAGCCACACGTGAAGCATCAGCAGGTGAGGTCCTGCGCGAAAGCGAAACATACGCGGGGGGTAGGGCGCTGCGGCTGGACATAGTCGGATGAGAGAGGGGAACAGCACTCGTGATACGTACTTGTAGAGAGGTGGGAAGAGGGAGGGAGAGATGGGGGAAGGGATGGGAGGGCGGACAGCGCAGGGAGGGATCGAGGGTGAAGGCGGAAGCGTACAGAGAGGTCGGAAAAGGGGCAATGCTCACATCTTCTCATCCTCCTTCGCCACCCTCCTCCTCCCAGCATCCTCTCCCTCCCCATTCTGTGTCTCATCCTCCTCGTCCTCTTCCTCCGTCTCCTCCTCCCTCCACCTCCTCCTACTCGTCCTCCTCTTCATTGGTGGAAGGGTTGACCTCCTGGCCGTAGCGAAACCCCTGGATCCTTCAAGGCTTCCTTCAGGGAGTTCTCCGCACGTTCCGCGAAGCCGCTGCTGGGCAGGATCGTGGACGCGATGAAGGACCGACAAAAAGGCTGCGGAGGGGGAGAAAGCGGAAGACCTGGAGGAGGCAGTAGCAGGACGCGGGAGGAGCAGGAGGAGGTGGAGGAGGGGATGGAGAGAGATGGAGAGAGGATGAGGATAGAGGAGAAGGCGAAGGGAGAAGAGAGGATGGGAAGGAGGAGCAGGAGGAGGAGGAGAAAGAGGAGGAAGCGATAGGAGGAGAGTGATAGGGGAGAAGCGAGGAGTAGGATGAGGAGGAGGAAGAGGAGGAGGAAGATGATGATGAGGAGGCGCTCGTGCCTCCGAAGCCGTGGGTACATGGGAGCAGGAGAGAGAATGAGAAGGAGGAGGAAGAGGAAGAGGAGGAAGAGGAGGAGGAGGAGGAGAAGGGGAAGGATGAGGAGGATGAGAAGGAGTAGGAGTAGGAGTAGGAGTAAGAGTAAGAGTAAGAGTAAGAGTAAGAGTAAGAGTAGGAGTAGGAGTAGGAGTAGGAGTAGGAGTAGGAGTAGTAGGAGTAGTAGTAGTAGTAGTAGTAGTAGTAGTAGTAGTAGTAGTAGTAGTAGTAGTAGTAGTAGTAGTAGTAGTAGTAGTAGTAGTAGTAGTAGTAGTAGTAGTAGTAGTAGTAGTAGTAGTAGTAGTGTTAGTATTATCATTATTAGTATTATTATTATTATTAGTAGTAGTAGTAGTAGTAGTAGTAGCAGTAGTAGTAGTAGTAGTAGTAGGAGGAGGAGGAGGAGGAGGAGGAGGAGGAGGAGGAGGATATTCAAACTTTAAAGAGGAAGGCAAAAACAGTTAGTCGGCCCGACCCGACACGATAGAAGGGGAAAAAGGAGAAGATGCCGCCGGACAAGAATGATAATGAGGTGGAGGCACGGGGAAGCAGGAAGGAGAAAGGAAATCGACGGCGGCCACTGTGGGCGGTGAGGGGGCGCTGCGGGGCCAGCAGCCAGAGGACTGCCGGGAGGAGAGACCTATTCGGCATGACCTCGTCCTGCCTCCGCGCCCAATCCCCCTCGGAAGCAGCTCAGATGAGAGGGAGGACTTCGCCGACTTCTCCAGCTGTCTCCTGGAGCCTGAGGACAGCTGAGACAGGTGGAGAGGGGGGGGCACACACTGGAGATGTCCCAAGCGGGCCGTGCGCGGATGCAAGGAAGGAGCTCTAAACGGATCCACCCTGGGGTCATCCTGCAAGTCAGTGCAGGGCACACCACAGCCTGCCCGCATGGTAGGCGGTGAAGGGCCAAATCCGCTCCCACCCCAGACTCGGTTCCAGCCGCAGCGAGCCCAGTCCTCCCAGACCCTTAAATGCCAGGTCAGACGGAGCAGTCGCAAACGTCGGGGCGAAGGACTCAGGAAAGAGACCCTGCGGACCACCTTCCGCTTTACCCCTGCCTCCGCTCTCCCGCCCTGCGGCAGGCTGGACCGGGCCAAGGCGCGAGGGGATCGCTGAAGCCTGGCATCCCCCCCCAGGTCTCCCTGAGACGCCCCTTGCTAGCCGGATCCGCTCCCAGCCAAATGTGCCTCCTGCGGCTACGGCCCGAAGCACCCCCCGCCGACGGGAGGCCTGTGGCAGAGTGGGTAGCCGAAGCGGCGGAGAAGGGATTGGGGAGAAACGATCCACTCGGACCCCCTATCGCAACTACCCCAGCCACCCCCGACCCAAAGTGCTGGGGCAGGCTGAGCGGTCGGAAATAGCGACTCCATACTCCCCCCCAGGCCAGGCATGATCTGCAAGTACCCAGGGAGGAAGGGAGAAAGCAAAACGAGGGCGGGAAGAGGGGGAGAAGGTGAATGGGAATGGGGAAGGTAGGTTAGAAGGGGCAGGAGACGAGCAGCGGGACAATATTCCCGACGACAAGCAAGTACCGCGCAGCTGACCACGCGACGTGAGACAAGAGACCGCCAAACGAGCCAAGAGCGCCATACGATGAGTCGCGAGCAGAGATCGGTCTGATTGAGGATTTGTTTCGTTGTCAAACGCTCCATCGACAGCCAAACCGATACCGTGTGGAAGTACGCACTCAAAGCATTGGCACGGAGGGCAGCATTGAAGATCAAACCGTATGTATGCCCCAGGGCAGTGGGCGCACTGATTGAGGAAAAGGAGAACAATCAATGAGCACGGGAGAAGAAGAGAAAGGAAGGACGTGGAGGAGGAGGAGGAGGAGGAGGAGGAGGAGGAGGAGGGCCACTGCTCTGTCAATGTTCTCTCGACGAGCGTGAAGGGGTCGCTAGTGTGGCACACGGACGTGTCGTAGCCATACGGAAGCTCCCACATCAGCTCCCCGCGAGCAATGTCCAGGGGCTGCTCTTGGACAGACAGCGTGGAAATCATGACAAAGGAGATGCGGAAGGGCAGAGAGCCTATCTCACACCTCTTCCTCCTCCTCCTCCTCCTCCTCCTCCTCCTCGTCCGCCCCTCTCCTTCTCATCCTCCTTCTCCTCCTCCCCTCTCCTCCTCACACTCCCTCCATATCCTCATTTGTCAGTTCCTCCTCCTCCTCCTCCTGCCTCATCCTACCTCCTCCTGCCTCCTGCCTCCTGCTCCTCCTCCTCGTAATCGTCGTCGTCGTCCTCCTCCTCCTCCTCCTCGCCCTTCTCTTCACACGCCTCTTCCCCCTCCTTCTTTTCCTCGTGCAGTTGCAGAATACTACTCTTCCTCCCCTGGTGACGTCCGGGGATTGTTCAACACCCCTCCGCGTACTGTTTTTTTACACACCAGATTCCCGGGAATTGGGTTTTCGCTTTTTTTCAGAACGCTGAAGCGGTAGCCTCATTTTCGGGCTAACGATCGTTCCGAATCGTGCTCCCGCTGCAACGTTGGCCTCATTGCTGCGCTCCCGCTCGTTCCGAATCGTGCTCCCGCTGCAGCGCTGGCGTCATTGTTTCCAGCGCCATGCCACGGCATGGTTTTCAGTCCTTCTAAATCGGCCCCAAATATCGAAAATGCTCCCCCCCCCCTCACCGAAAAAAACATCAGAAGTGGTTACACATTCGGTGTCGATTCGTTGGTTTTTGGGATCGCAGGAGTCCCCCCCCACCTTGGGGTGTCGCCACGCCATGCTATGTCAGGCTACGCGTTCTCCGAATCGCGCTCCCGCTGCAGCTCTGGCCTCATTTCCGCGCTTCCGCTCGCTCTGAATCGTGCTCCCCCTGCAGCGCTGGCGTCATTATTTCCAGCGCCATGCCACGGCATGGTTTTCGGTCCCTCCAAATAGGCCCCAAAATCTAGAAAATGGCCCCCCGAAACAATCATCATAAGATATTGCACATTCGGTGTCGATTCGTTGATTGTTGAGGCCGCAGAAGCACCCCCCACTTTGGGGCGTCGCCACGCCATGCTATGTCAGGCTACGCGTTGATCTTCAACCCCATGCTATGCCATGTGCCCTGCTACGACATCCGGCTGTACGAATAGAGAGGAGATCTACGCCATGGTAAGGGATGAGAGGGAGGGGTAGGACGTCAGAGTTGACGCGAGCGCACCTAGCTTGCCTTTTCCCCCTCCTCCTCCTCCTCCTCCTCCTCCTCCTCCTCTTTCTCATCCCTTCTGCTCCTCCTCCTCCGTTTGTAAACATTTTGGCTCGAGCCGCTCTTGAGGGCGACCCCCTGGTCCGCACCGCCTTAAAACACACCCGTGGCAGAGGTCGCCGGCGGGAGCCCAACGCGGGTCACTCGAGGAGGCGCACCGGAGCGCTCGCCCAACAGCCTGGCAAGCACCAACGGGACTCGAGAGAAACGGGCGGGTCCAGAGAGCACTTGCCTGGGGCTACCCCTTCACCCCGAGCCAGTTCTTTCCTGAGGGCCCTGGGGCCATTCTCCTCCTCCTCAGCCTCCTCCTCCTCCTCCTTCTGATCCTCCCCTCCTTCTCCTCCTCCTCCCCCCTCCTCCTCCTCCTCCTCCTCCTCCCTCCTCCCCCCTCCTCCTCTCCCCTCTCCCCCTCCCCCACCTCCCCCCTCCCTCCTCCCTCCTCCTCCTCCTCCTCCTCCTCCTCCTCCTCCTTGTCGTCATCCTCCTTGTCGTGGTCGTCGTCGTCCTCCTCCTCCTCCTCCTCCTCCTCCTCCTCCTCCTCCCCCTCCTCCTCATCCTTCTCTTCCTCCTCCTCCTCCTCCTCCTCTTCCTCTCGGCCTATCTCGAATCCAATCGAGATCTGCAGGAACAGCTCCAGGTTCCATCCGAAGCACTTCGTGCCTGGGATCTGCCGCACCTCCCCAGACAGGCCCACGCCGATCAAGCCTTGGAAAGAGGGAGGGAGGATAATGAGAAGTAGAAGAAGAAACACCTGCATATACATAAACTGATGGCGCTCCGCGCGGATTTCTTGGATCGGCGCTGGACCCCTCCCTTGGTCCCCTTCTCCCTCCTCCCTTCTCCCGCATGGTTGTCGACCCTTTCTCCCCGGGGTATGCTTTTCATCCTCAGTCGCCGTTTTTAATGGTCCATGGCGGCCTGGAACTGGCCTCCAGGGGAAGAAACCGATGAACCTGCTGTCTCGAATTTCTGTTGCGACGGGAAGGAAGGGCACAAGGACGCGGCGCACGAGGATCTGAGGTGAGGAAGTGGACGATGACGGGGAGGAGGAAGATGCGGGGCCACACCGATCTGGCCTGGGAAGATGCCGCCAGAGATGAGGGTCAAGTCCAAGTCGAACTGAACGCAAGCCATGGCGGAGATCTGCACCGGCGAGAAGCTCAAGGGCGGGTACCTCGGAAAGGGAGGAGGAAGAGGAGGAGGGGAAGGAGGAAGAGGAGGAGATGGATACTGCTGCTGCTGCTGCTGATGCTGGTGGTGATGATGATGTTGATGATGATGCTGATAATGATGACGATAGTGATGATGTTGATGAGGAGGAGGAACAGGAGAGCCATGGCATGGCGAGCTCACGCAACACGCACAGCCGTGGCCACCAGCAAGCAGTGCAGTCAATTTCTTAGCCCGTCAAGCCCGCCTCATTCGTAGAGCCTAGCAGCAGGCGGCCCAGAGAACCGTCAAGGTACAAGAGGCAACAACAGGATAGGATCACCAAAGAGCTCAGAGGGATCGCGTCTCATCTAAATGACCAGCTGCGCGACTGGAGCGATTGGTGGTACAAGCAGAATTGGTGGCAGAACGAGGCTGGCCACGCAGTGCTGGCAGCAGCCACTGAGCACCACATGTCATCGGCTACAAGCCCTGTGCGGAAGGTGGCCGATTCCATCAGCTACGATGGTGGCACAGCGCGGCAGCACGAGCCCAACGTCGTCAGCTACGGGGGATGGGGAGGTCACCCGAAACACGAGCCCGACGCCATCAGCTACGAGGGTGGTACACCCACGCACGAGTCCGATGCCATCAGCTACGACGGTGGGGCTGCGAAGCACGAGCCCAACGTCATCAGCGACAGTGTCGGGGCCGGCCCCTCGAACGTGAAAGGCCAGCAGGTCTGCGAGAAGCACTGGCAGAGATGCTGACGGGCAGGTCGTGGTGCGAGAAGGGCGGGCAGCGGTGCGAAAAAGGCGGGCAGTGGTACGGGCGGGCAATGGTGCGAGACGGGCCCGCAGTGGTGCGAGAAGGGGCAGCAATGGCGCGAGATGGGCCCGCAGTAGCGCGAGAAAGGCCAGGGTGCCAGAATGGCCAGCAGGTGGGCCAATGGCGGCAGAGGCTGGGTACAATAACTCATCAGGTGCAGGATGGCACGCGGAACGCTGTGGCCGAAACAAGTTCTGAATCCTGGCAGGCTTGTGCGCCGCCCGCTATTCAGATGTACTTTGTCGACTAAGCCAGGCGGACATCACGAAGGGTAAAAAAGAAAGGAGAAGGGAGGGGGCGCGAAGTACGAGCCCAACATCATCAGCTGCGCGGGTTGCCTTGCGGCGGGGCAATCGCCTAACGCCATCAGCTACGGGAGCGGCGCAGAGAAGCACGAGCCCAACGTTGTCAGCTACGGGAGAAGCACAACGAAGCACGAGACCAACGCCATCAGCTAGGGGGGATGGTATAGCGAAGCACGCGCCCGACGACACCAGCTACGATGCCAGCTGGGACGGCATTGTCGGCCAAGGCACCGAGGCGGCAGTAGAAGGGGCGGCAGTGACAGCCCAGGCAGCGGTGGCAGTGCCAGCTCAAGGTAGTGGCAGTCCAAGCGGCGGAGGCAGTGGCAGCTCAGGCAGTGGCAGCTCAGTGCCAGTAGCAGCGGCGGCAGTGGCAGCTCAAGGTAGTGGCAGCTCATCCAGCAGCAGCCAACGCGCAGTGCAAAAAGCGAAGCCGCCACCAAATCACGACATCCAGGCGCTGCTTAACACGGCGTACAAGCGATTCATTGCGCGACGACTGGGCGTGGCACCCATGGCACTTCGAACGATCGACAGAGCCGCTCCGTACGCCAGGCGGCATCCAGGTACCCAGCACCTGCACGACGGCATCGACATCTGCCGCGCAGACGGGAAGTGCCACGCGCACCTCGTGGATTAACAGCATATGCGCGCGTGTGTATATATATACATACATACATACATACATACATACATACATACATCTATACCCGGCGGACCCACAATTGAGCACCCTCATGTGTCGTTATGCGCGTGTGGTGCGTATATAGGCATGCAGACGATTGTATTCGTTGTGGCGTATTTGCGTGTATGAAAGTGTGCAGAGTACGCATGAGCGGGCGTTCCGATGTGTACGCGTGTACGAAATAGATAGACGATATACATATATATATATATATATATATATATGAAGAGAGGGAGAGAGAACGAGAGAGAGGGGGAGAGAGAGAGAGAGAGAGGTATGTACTACTACTACTACTACTACTACTACTACTACTACTACTACTACTACTACTACTACTACTACTACTACTACTACTACTACGACTACGACTACGACTACGACTACGACTACGACTACTACTACTACTACTACTACTACTACTACTACTACTACTACTAACCACGAACGCGGCTTCTTTTTTTTTTGTTTCTCTCTCTCTCTCTCTCGTTCTCTCTTCTTTTCTCTCTGTCTCACTCCCTCTTTCTCTCTCACTCTCTCTCTCTCTCTCTCCTATATATATATATGTATATGTATATACAAATGTCTACAATACACTAGAACCACGCGCATGCTTCGCGCGCGGTTAGGTTCTAGTCGACTCTGGAGGTGGTGCCCGTGGGCATCGCGAACATCCCAGGATACGGTGAGACAGGTATCCCGGGCGCACACTGCCATTCTCTCGCGGATGCGCGGAGCCTCTTGGGGGGTGCGTCGTGGTTCAGGGCGGTTGCGGGCCACGGGACGCGTCGGAGCCCTTGGGGACCATCTGGGGGCTTCCTGGGGGCCTCTTGGGTTTGTCTGGCGGTGTCGTCCTCCTTTGGTCCTTTCGCGGGGGTCTCCCGGGGGCGTTTTATGCTCGCTTAGGGGTCACTTAGGCCGTACTGGCGCTGTTGTGGACCGCGTTGGAGCTTTCTGTGGGCCTTATTGACCCGTCTTCTGGTGAGCTTGACTGCCTCTGCTCCTGTTGTCCCCATTCGGGCATGCCTCTTCGTCGTTTTCGTTGTCCTGGGGCCCTCGTGGACCGTCTTCGGTCAGTCTTCGGGGGCCTCTTGGGCAGTCTTGGAATGGTCGGTCTTTGGGGCCTTTTGGGCCTTCTGGGCCTTGGGCCGTCTTGGGTTGGTCTTGGGACCCTCTTGGGCAATCTTGGGGCGGTCTCGGGGACCTTTTGGGCCATTGTGGAGCGCCGGAAGCTCGAAAATGCGAGAAGGCAAGAATCCTTGTTTAAAAACCCCGATTGCAATCAGCGATTTGGGCTTCTTGGGGCTCTTGCGGAAGGTAGTTTGGAGACTTGTAAAAAGATGTTATGAGGAGGCATGTTGGAGGCCTCTAGGGCCGCGGGAAGGTCCTGGAGGCGTCTCGGGACCCATATATATATATATATATATATATATATATATATTAAAGGGCTGCGGACCTCATAGGGAGAGGCTCCCGCCTGAAACTTCCTCCATACTGAGGTCCCAAGAGCCCCAAAGTGACGACAATTACAAGTTTTCCAACGACCCGCTCGGATTACAAACATGAGCTGCGGGCCCCATAGGCAGGAGGCTCCCGCTTGAGACTTCCTCGCAACTCACTAACAGACGAGGCTCCCGCCTGATACTTTCCCCACATTCAGGCCTCAGGGGCCCAACAATCACGACAGTTACAGATTGTCCGATGACCCGCTCGGGTTGTACACATGAGCTGCGGTCCGCATAGGGAGGGGCCTCCCGCCTGAGACTTCCTCGCGATTCACTCACAGACGAGGTTCCCGCCCGATACGTCCTCCCTGTTCAGGCCTCAAGAGCCCAAACATGTCGACAGTCACAAGGTTCCGATGTCCCGCCTCGGATCCCAGACGGGGGGGCTCCCGCCTGAGACTTCCCCCAAATTCACTCACAAACGAGGCTCCCACCCGAGACGACACACAGGCAAGTGATGATGCTGATGATGATGATACTGATGATGATGATGATGATGATGATGATGCTGATGATGATGATGATGACGATGATGATGATGATGATGATGATGATGATGATGATGATGATGATGCGGAGGTTTATGATGATGTGGGTGATGATGATGACGATGATGCAGGTGGTGATGACGGAGTGTGAATGATTGAGTGCGTGAGCGAGCCACTCAGGAGAAGTGGGTGAGCAGCTGGGGGAGTGAGTAATTTATGCGCGAATAAGAAGGATCGGGCGAGGTTGCGATGGTGATGCGAGTGTGTGTGGGCGTGTCAGTGAGAAGGCCAAAGAGACCGCCATCAAGAAAGACCGTCATCACGGTCGCAGAGTGAATAAGTCATGAGTGAATGACGGTGATCGAATGTGTGTGTGAGTGGACGACGATGAGGCTTAATGGTACGGATAGGATGGTGGTGGTGACGATGATGAAATTATAATTGGAAGTGGTGATGTTGATGATGATGATGACGATTTTGATGATAGGAGGAGTGGGTGTGATGAGGGGAGGGTGTGGGAAGACTGCGAGGGGTGTCCAAAGAAAACAAACAAAACACTTTGGATGTGGAGAACTATGAAAATCAACGATGTTTGTCCCTTGGGATTCTCTCGGGGGACCTCCTGAAGCTTTCTTGGGGTCCGAGCGGGCCGTGAAGTAGATGTATTGAGCCTATCTCGAACTATGTCGGCGCCTTCTGGGTTGTTTTGGGGGGCTTTTCGAGGCCTCCTGAAGCCTCCAGGCGCTCTGTGCCGCGTCCCGGGCACCGTCCGGGGCGCCCCCGGGGCCGCTCGGGACAGCGTCGGAAGCTGGGAGCACCCATGCGCTGTCAAGGCTCCGTTTTTGGAGGCCTCCGACCTTGTATTCTGGTATGTATGTATGCATGTATGTATGTGTATGTTGATATATAGATGTTTATATACATGTATATGTTTACAAATACATATGAATATATCAGACATATATGTTTTATGTCCAGGGATGCATAAATGTATATGTATATGTACATATACTTGTGTATATACGTACACATATATACATTTATACACATATATATATATAGGTGTGATTTATGTACATGTATATATGTATATAGGTGTACGTATACGTATAGATACATGTTTACGCACCTGTATCTATTTATATACATGTTGTATGTATGTATGTATGTATGTATGTACGTGTACGTGTGTAAGTATGTGCACATATATATATATGTAT